AAAAATATTATCGATGATTATCTCATTTCTATCCCATATTTCATGGCAATAACTTATAGGATTCTCGGTATTCCCGGGATTTGATATCGCTTTTTCGATATCAGGCTCAACAGATTCATCTGGAGCATTCTCACTAGGAATCGCCTCATTTGAGGGTTCATTGATTTTCCCCTTTCTCTTTCTAGGAACAACGTCCTTTGATCCAATAGGTCTACCCCGTTTTTGTCGTGGGGGATCATCATTCATTTTCGCATGTTCTTCAAGAACAGCGATCCTAGCTGGCACATTCACAGCTGGAATATAAGACTTCGTAACTTTACTGGCATCATTAAATGCATCAGGAAGTCTATTGGCAATATTTTGTAAATGAATGATTCTATGAATCTCATTTTCACATTCGGAGGTATGTGGGTCGAGATGAGATAAATGTTGCTCACACCATGTGAGATTCTCGATTGGTTTTTGTTTATCATTATCACGGATATTCTGAATATCCTTACCAATCGGTATAAATAATGTCTCATCAAAATGACAATCCGCAAATCTAACGGTAAATAAATCACCCGTCATTGGTTCCAAGAACCTAATAATCGACGGTGAATCAAACCCAACGTATATGCCAAGTCGGCGTTGGGGACCCATTTTAGTCCTCTGTGGAGGAGGAATTGGCACATGCACAGCGCAACCAAATGTGCGAAGGTGCGAAATATCGGGCTCAAAGCCTAATGCCAATTGCATTGGGGAATGCATATGATAAGCAGTTGGGCGTAATTTAATCAGTGCTGATGCATGCAATACTGCATGGCCCCATGCTGCACTAGTGAGTTTAGATCTCATCAGCAAAGTACGAGCAATTATTTGGACGCGTTTAATTAGAGATTCCGCCAGTCCATTTTGAGTGTGAACGTATGCTACTGGGTGCTCGACATTTATTCCCAGTGCTGCACAATACTCATCAAAAGTTTTTGATGTAAATTCTCCGGCATTATCCATCCTTATATTTTTGATGGGATAATCAGGGAAATGTGCTCGGAGTTTAATAATTTGTGCTAGCAAACGCGCAAATGCAACATTTCGCGTAGATAATAAGCATACGTGGGACCATCTACAAGATGCGTCCACCAAAACCATAAAATATCTAAATGGCCCACTTGCAGGGTGTATTGGTCCACAAATATCACCATGAATACGTTGTAAAAACGATGGTGATTCATAACCGACCTTTTCAATGGAAGGTTTTATAATGAGCTTTCCTTGTGAACATGATTCACAGAAATATTCATTGGACATCAAGATTTTTGTATCTTTTAATGGATGTCCTTTAGTATGTTGTGCAATCCTACGCATCATAGTCGTTCCTGGGTGACCCAGTCGATCATGCCATAACCCGTGTATATCGGGATTAACAAGTTTCCATGGCATAGTGGCGTAGGATTCGAAAGCTCGAATTTGGACACAATACAGTCCAGAAGCTGTCGCTTCGAACTTCTCATGAACAATTCTTTTGTCCATGACATATGATGTGACGCATAGACACTCCACAGTATTTTCAACCAGTGTCTCTAAATGATACCCATTGCGTCTCACATCTTTAAAACTCAGTAGATTCTTGTTCGATCTACCGGATATCAGTGCATTTTCAATATGCAAAGTGGTACCATTAGGCAACACAATTGTTGCGTTCCCGGAGCCATCTATTATTTCCGCGGAACCTGCTATGGTTTTAACTTGTGCCTTGCACAAAGTCACACTCGAGAAATATATTTTATTATTGAATATTGAGTGTGTAGTTGCACTATCGAGTAGGCAATAATCATATTTGTCCATATTTTTCATGTACGTGTATCAAAATCAGCTCGACCTCGGGTATTTATCCTCCAAGGGAGATATGTACATGTGGGTTTATTCAAAACAACTCAATCTTGGGAATCACACCTTCCAAGAGAGATTTATATACAGTGGGTACAAAATAACCCAAAAACCCTTTAAATTTGGACTTGTGATCAATAGCCTCTAAGTTGGCTCTTGACGGGTTTACCTCGTCTAATGACTCTACGAGCTTTACGCTCGGAGTTGTTTTCAGATATTTGGCCTTTAAATCGGCTTTTGACGGATTATCACGTCTTGACTCAACGAGCTTCAGGCTCGGAGATATATTCTGATATGTGGCCTTTAAATCGGCTTTTGACGGATATTATCACGTCTTGACTCAACGAGCTTCAGGCTCGGAGATATAGTATGACCTCTATACGGTCTCTGTTAAGCTCTACGGGTACTATGCCCGGAGTTAAAACGATAGCCTCTAAATCGGCTTTAAACGGAGATTATTATTTCTCCAACTCCACGAGCATCAGGCTCGGAGTTTATATCTTTTACTCGACGAGCATCATGCTCGGAGTTAATATCTCGGCCTCTAAATTGGCCCACAGATCTGTTGATATATAGCACGTGCTTATAACACTGCTTGGGATCCACAAGCTTGCAAATATAAATTTCAGCAGCAATTCAACAAATAAATAAGCAATAGATTAATATACACGAATCCGTCATATCCTTTGAGAAATGATAGCGTATAAAATACTGAAGTATTCGCTAATCATTCTCGTTTGTCTTTACGACAACATAATCGAGGATCTGGATTTTCGTGAAATAAAATAGAAAGAAGAATACGAAAATAACAAATCCCTATCGAGCAAAATCTCGTGCTGATAACGTGTTATAGAATAAAAGAACAATGCGTATAGAAAGATGGATATATGTGTGCTGCGAGAATTTTATAATTGAATGAAAGAGTTGCCCATTTCTGAAGCTAGAATGCTTCTATTTATACACCAATGCCTCTAAGCATTGTCATGCTAATGGCTTGACACGTAGCACAAAATAGCAGGTCATGCTTCATCAATTCTTAGTCTCCAAGGCAAACAAGATGATAAGTCCACGTAGGCTTTGCCTTATCTCTATAATAGAGTCCCATTAGTTAGAGAAAAAAAAGGAGTGAGAAATCCTTTCCCAAATTAAATGGCCCAATTTAGGAATGGGCTTTTTAAACAAACGTCTCTTGTAATGCTTTCGATAAATGGATTACAACGTTGGACCGTAGAGAATAGGTAATTGGGCCGTAAAACAATTTTATTTATTTATTTATTTTATTAATGTTAAAACATCAGAAACAAAACGTAATATTCCATGCAAGATATCCCTCGATTAAACTGAGTCGTGTGCAACACGCGCTTTTAATTGCTAGTGGTTAAGCTATCCTTGTCCACTTTACCAATAAATTGAACCAACTTATATTAGTTAATCAATTTTAATTTTTAAAAACATCATTTCCCATTAATTAGTTGCTAATTCCTTTTCCAAATCGGATGAATGATGATGCTTGAATTCCAAACAAAGCAAAGCCATAAAGAAAACAGAAAAAAAAAAAAAATTTTGAAAAAATTACGATATTAACACTAACCTTGGTCAATTAGTTTAATTAATTAATTATATATGTAAATAGAAATAAATATATAATTTTTTTAATTTAATATAGCGTGAAATGTATATTTTCAGATTGGCTGGCAGGCACATGCCGACAACTTTATTTCATGTGAGCTGCTGTTATACTTTGTACCAGTTTTGTTTCTTTCTTTCCAACCCTATCTGTCGTCTTACTCCTCATACGACACCGTTTTGCTTCTTACACTCGCAAACTGCGAACCAATGAGAGACTCCCACGTGTGCTTATATCCGGCACCAACCAATAGATTTGGAGCGTGAATTCAAATCCGTTTGTTGGTGCGTGTATTGCATAATTTTGTTCAATATTTGAACTGACAGGGAAAAAAGAATTACATATACAGTACTACAGAATTTAAAATTCTCCAATTATTGCTCAGGTTTAGGAGAGGGCTGTTAATGTTATTTACTTTTCTGTCCTTCACTATTTGGACATCGAATTAGCTTTTCGCATGTGAAATGACAAAAATGCACCCAACCATGCGACTCATATTTGACTTAAAAATCATACGTCAAGGGGCAATATTGACTAAGATTATCACTCCCTTTTACAATGATTGTGAATTAATTTTAAGGTTAATTTAATGATTGAAAAAATAATAAGTTCCAAATAAGAATTAATGTTTGATAATTATAAGTGTAACAAGGGCAAATCTGAAGTGAAAAATAATACAACATTAGTATTCTAGATTGATAGACGGTATGAAAAAATATACAAAGTGACAATTAATTTGAAATCGATCGAGTATATATCTATCCAGCATATCTAGTAACGAAGAAATTAACAATCAATCAACCATATATGTGTATTGGGTAAATGTATATATACTCATATAATAGCTTAAAAACTATACGGGCGACATAAATCACATAGGTTAACCATGTGTACGTGACAAGCTTCACCTAACAATCGTTGGCAAATTAATTCAAACGTGAATCAGTTGACACATGCTTGTTAGTTCCAAGAGTTAGGCCGCCCTTTATGAGAGCATATGTTATGTTCTTTATGGTACTATGGCCCACATTCTAATTTATATTTTGAGGTTTCCGCATTCTTCGGAAGTCAATTATTAGTACAATAATTATCACTTTAAAACTTGAGATTGAGGATAGCAAATAATAATGTATCACAAAATCTTAGTTTTTATTTTAAATTATAACATAAATAATATTTTTTCAACTGTAGTTATTCAAAGGGTTAATCTAGTGTTTCTAAAAAGGGCACATCCGTCAAGTAATTTCACTCAAAATAATAAATAAAATAAAAATCAAATCAAGCTCCATTATTTTCTGCACCGTCCGATCGCATCTTAGCGGTGTGAATACGAATCGTACGGTCTCGATTTAGCATTACAAATAGGAGGGAAAAAATTATGGCCGTCGATTTCCTACACTCTCAAATATAAAATCCCTCTAGGGCTAATACGATCTCTCACTCCTCACTCTCTCACTCTTACTCACTTCTCTCACTCTAATCGATCGTGCAGACAGTTTTCGCTCTATCATTCATCTCTTCGATTTTCCGTGTTCGAATCGCGTTTCAGAGGTAATTTTTCATCCAATTTGTTGTTTTTGCGTTAATTCACCTGAGATTTCTGAACTAATCACAGTTTTATCTGCAATCGAACTTGTGATTGTCGGTAAATCGAGTTCGTTTGGTGTGAAAATGCGTGTAGATCGAGATAATTTCGCATGTTTTTGAGTTTTAGTTGAAGATCGCATTGCGTTTCGTATATTCTTAATATTCCGAACGAGTATTTGTAGATCTGATGAAGATATGGTAAGAAACACTAATGAGTAATTAAGTAATGTAATTATGAGTCAGTTGTTTAATGTTCTGCAAGATATGTAGAAATTCAAGGTGTTCGAAGCTCTATGTTGATGATCTGTGTATCTGTAAATGTACGGTACTTAATTCTCTTTCGATTCAAGAACCGAGCCGGTAGTTTTCTCCTAGATCTTTAGATTTAGTTATCTGCCGATGAGTTTGAGCAAACATCAATATTTTTTTATGTAATTAGACCAAGTATTAGCAAAATTGGTAGAATCATATAATTGAAACTTCATTGACTATCATTCACACAAAAATTGCAATGTGATACATGATTTAGTGTTATTTCCTAATATTTTTTTTCACGAATTGCAGGAAAAATGAGGGAAATCCTTCACATTCAGGGTGGGCAATGCGGTAACCAGATTGGTTCGAAGTTCTGGGAAGTTGTCTGTGACGAGCATGGTATAGATCAAACTGGAAGATACGTTGGGACCTCCGATTTGCAATTGGAGCGTGTCAATGTATACTACAACGAAGCGTCTTGTGGTCGGTTTGTGCCTCGTGCAGTCCTCATGGATCTTGAGCCTGGAACCATGGACAGTGTTCGAACTGGTCCATATGGCCAGATTTTCAGGCCAGATAACTTCGTTTTCGGTCAGTCCGGTGCTGGAAATAACTGGGCTAAAGGGCATTACACAGAGGGAGCTGAGCTTATCGACTCGGTTCTTGATGTCGTGAGGAAGGAGGCTGAGAATTGTGACTGCCTTCAAGGTAAATTTGGATCGATACCATGTTGTAGTTTCCCGATTCTTGGACTAACTATTGAACTGCAAAAGTATCAATTTTTACTACATTGGCTAATTGTCTAAAATTTTTGCATGGTATTTTAGGTTTCCAAGTATGTCACTCTCTTGGTGGAGGAACTGGTTCTGGGATGGGGACTTTGTTGATATCGAAGATCAGGGAAGAATATCCCGATAGGATGATGCTGACGTTTTCCGTGTTCCCGTCTCCCAAGGTTTCGGATACTGTGGTCGAGCCTTATAATGCCACACTATCAGTTCATCAGCTTGTTGAGAATGCAGATGAATGTATGGTGCTTGATAACGAGGCTCTTTATGATATTTGTTTCAGGACGCTCAAACTAACCACACCTAGCTGTAAGTATATTTTATTCTGTTTCTGGATTTTGATCTTTGTCTTTGCTGATTGTTTTCTTATTCTTAATTTCAACATACATTTTAAATATATGTTTTAAAAAGTTTGCACTTTGCGGTGCTTTTCTCTTTGCATTTATCAATTTCTTTTGCTGCTATAGGTCAATTGCTTTTCTCTTTGCACTTTGCATGTTTTGTAGAAGAATTTTTCGTCGTGACTAATTGTCTTACAGGCTCTGCTGAAATTTGTGTGTTTCATATTGTTATTAACGTGACTTCATTGTTGGAATTTAACATGATAAATCACGACCACATGATGTGATTCATGAATGAACTTTGCTTCTTCATTAAGTAGCTACAGTTTAAGGTTAAATTCTTAAATATATCAAAACTTAGATGCACATTTGCAATTTTGTAAATTCACGAGTCAATTGTTTGAACTAATTTTGTTGTTTTCATTAAGTAACCATAGTTTATGGTTATAATTCTTGCAACTATTGAAACTTAATGTTTTCAATGTTTTTTCGAGTCCAGTTGGTGATCTTAACCACTTAATTTCGGCAACAATGAGCGGAGTCACATGCTGCCTCCGCTTCCCTGGTCAACTCAACTCCGATCTCCGAAAGCTCGCAGTCAACTTAATCCCTTTCCCCCGTCTCCACTTTTTCATGGTCGGTTTCGCCCCTCTCACCTCCCGAGGCTCCCAGCAGTACCGCGCCCTAACCGTACCGGAGTTGACTCAACAAATGTGGGACTCCAAAAACATGATGTGTGCTGCCGACCCCCGCCATGGTCGTTACCTAACCGCCTCCGCCATGTTCAGGGGTAAAATGAGCACCAAAGAAGTCGACGAACAAATGATAAACGTCCAAAACAAGAACTCATCTTACTTTGTCGAATGGATTCCAAACAACGTAAAATCGAGCGTTTGTGATATTCCACCGAAAGGGCTTTCAATGGCTTCGACTTTTATCGGAAACTCGACTTCGATTCAAGAAATGTTTAGGCGAGTGAGCGAGCAGTTTACTGCCATGTTCAGGCGAAAGGCTTTCTTGCATTGGTATACTGGTGAAGGTATGGACGAAATGGAGTTTACTGAGGCGGAGAGTAATATGAACGATCTTGTTTCCGAGTACCAGCAGTACCAGGATGCTACTGCAGACGATGAAGGTGAGTATGAAGAAGACGAAGAGGGCATTGAGGAAGATATTTAAGGAAATTAAAAATAAAAAATAAAAAACCCCCTGCTTTAAATATTGTGTTTCCTATGTTTTCGTTTGATTACGGAATTCGGAAATATTCTCGTTTCTGTGTAATGTTTTCTTGTATTTCTGCTTGTTTTGGAGATCCGAAAACTGCCCAGTTTTCTGCGCGACCGTGTTTTAGTAGTGTAGCCAAAAGGGAAGTAGGGGGAGAGTCTTGATTACTGTTGTCACATTTCAATTTCTGAGTGTTGTTATATCTCTTTTTCTTCATGTTATTCTGAGTGAGATGTTGATTTTCGATTTTCGGTTTTCGGTTTTCGGTTTCGACTTTCGACACACAACGAAAATCAGTACACACGCTTTCACAAATTTACTATAAGACATGTTCGATTGGTTGGTACTGTAAATGAAGTAACTATTGACAAGGCAAATCTAAAGACTGTTTAAAAATTCAATTTTTTTAATTGAAAAATTGAATTAATTTAATTGAAGTAAAAGTTCAATGAATATACTCTGCATCTTGGATTTGCAATCTTTCTCTCTCTAAGATTGGGCCAGTGTTGTCAGTAGATTAATGTAAGTAGTCCCCCATGTGGTTTATCTTCTTGTGCAGAATGAGAGGCAGCCATGTGCTTTTCAGATAAGAGTTTTCATGTGCTACAATGTGGTTTTCTTATCACCTCACCCAAGGTTACATGCTTCTGTCGTTCTATTTCTTTTTTATACTAATCATTACAATAAATAAACATAAAAATAAAAATAAACGACTCCGTATTACAATAAGCTTCACATACGTCGGCTAACCAGTGCATAACGTCAGTTATTGAAATTTTAAAATGACAGATAGAATATAAAAGATTTTTTCGAATCAAAACAACAATTACTTCATAATTGAGGCAGTAGTTTCTCACAAGTTTTAGATGGTGATTGCAAAAGCTTTTAGAAATTGTTCCTGAGCTTTTAAAATCAGCAGCTTTTACTTTTGCTTCTATTAAAATAAGTTGTTTTAAGCTATTCGTAGACCTGTTTTTCTATTTAAACTGGATTATTGGTATATCTTAAAACAACCAGAACTTTTAAAAAATAAGCACTTAATACTCACTTCTCACAATCACTAACTTATGCTTTTTGATAAGCTTTTGCAAACAACCACCTTACTCTCACCAAATATATATGGCTTGTGAAAGAAATCTTAGATCTAGAGTATTGCAAATAAGGAACATTTTGATCTTGTTTAAGTTTATTTAGTTTTCTTTTAAATAAATCAATCCACATGTCTAGAACACTATACGAAGGATGCATGACTTATTTTTTTATGAAATTTATTACAAGTGTGCCCATAAATGCTCCAATTTTTCTCATTGAGGTAGAAAAAAAATTAACGGTCAATTTTTAAACTTTTGGATGCGTTTGTTGCAAGGACAAATTATACGGTCAATTTCGAAAATAAATAAATAAATAAAAAATCCCAATTGGGCTAAGTCTGGACCCAACCCATGGACCTAATATGGCCCATTTGAGTACTTAAAGTTCAGCCGAACTTGCCGACACAAATTAATGAAATGGTCCCGGAGCCCGACCCGGCCCGAACCCACTTGACAAACAACACCAAATTACATATATAAGGTTGCGGGTTATTTGTATGCTCCACACAGTGAATGTTATACTGAATGGTTTTTTTTATTGTTGATTTACATACACCAACACTGATGTACGTATATTTGTGTATATCCGAATAGTAAAGATTTATCGAATGTAACATTTATCGGGTGTAGCAGCGTAAACGAGGGTTGTGTGTGTTAATGGAGAGTTGACTAAAAGAAAATAAGAAGTCTCGTTAGTGGAAAGCAAAGTATGGGTGCGTTCACATGCAATTCGGGCCATTTGAGAAGCGTGCGCCATGTGCAAAGACACACACTGACACACGCTCACATAAACACATATATATTGTAGACACGCATACTTACTATATATATATTTATAGGGTAAATTACAACCATCTCCCTGAGGTATGATAAAATTATTAAAAACCCCCTCATGTTTGGGTAATTACAACAACCCCCTCAACTATAAATTTTCTTACACGTCCATCTTTGCGGTTTCGAATTTAGTGGAATCTTCTTGTTTATATGGAATATTATTACTTCTGTGCCCGTTTTATCCCATTCGAGCTCCACAATTTGAAGCAAGATGATCGTAAGATGTGTTTTTTGGTTTGTATATATCAGATTATGGTGCATCAGAAACTGTATTTTTGCACGAAACGAGTACAAACTAGAGCACATTCCACTAAATCTAGATGATTATGCAAAATTTGACACTATAAGGGTGGAGGTGTAAGAAAAAACATAGTTGAGGGGTAGATGTAATTATCCAAACAAGAGGGGTTTTTTCGTAAATTGACCATACCTCAGGGGTGGTTGTAATTTACCCTATATTTTAAATATTAATTAATAATGGGTATATATATTAATTAAGGTTAATTATTACACGATGATTAAACCCAACACAGCCCATGTTACGGATCTTGCCTTGTCTTTGAGGCACATAATACCTTCGCCTTCCCACTTAAGGGCAAATTACACATTACTTATGTAACTATATATTAATATATATATATCTAAATTACGGAAATTATTAAAAAAAAAAAGTTTATTTATTTAATTAGTCTACCCAAATTATCGGTCAATTAAAAACCCTAATAAAAACAATCACACGTCTCAATATATAGTAGATAGTAAATTACCCTCGAAGTATCTCAAAATTATACAATTTCTCTTTTGTTTGTTAAATTACATTTAACCTACCTATTAAAAAAAGCCCTCCAAACATATATTATATTTTCCATGAAAAAAAATATTCTTTATTCTTTACACCAAAATGCTTCTAAAAGAAAATGCTCATGCAAATATTTCTTAACCATATATGGTAACCGTTGTCACAAATTGAAGTCGAGTTTGACAAACATAACACATATTTTTTTTCGTCATTGTCACTACTAGAAGATCGATAAATGAATAACCTCGCTAAGAAAATAATTTCTTTCGGTTCCGAATAGATGGAAAAATATTTAAATTATTAGTTCGATTAGTCACGACTGTATTAATTTATAGAGAGTTAACTGTATTTACAAATCATCTGAAAAATAATACAATTTACATTTATCTAAAAGATCCTCATCCTCTCGAAAATAAAGAGCCATATAGTTACGCTCATTTATAATTGTGTATAGACTTAAAGTCGAAAGCGTGCATCATTCACGTACAAGGGTGAATCTATAGACGACAACAAAACTGAGAGGATATATAACAAAAAATATCAGTAACAAAAAAAATGGGGGATATTTGTAATATAGTAATACCTAAGGGGGGTCGTTTGTAAAATACCTCAAAACATGTCCTTTTACTACAAAGTTACATAAAAAGTTTGACAGTGGATTATAGCAATACAAAAAGGTTGTCTATAAAAACGAGGTATTGAGAGAAAGACAAAAGAATAAGGAAAAAAAAATGGCTTCTTGGGTTAGAACAATCACTTCTCCATTCAGAAAAGCTCGTACTTTCTTCAACCCAAACAACCCCCACAGAGACAAGAAATCCCAACAAGGTACCGTACCTTTTCTTTCTTTCTCTTACCGTACTCTCTTTTTTTTTTTTTTTTTTTTTTTTTTTTTAAATCCAATTTTTTTTTTCAAGAAAATATTTTTATTATATTGTTCTAGCTTAGCTATTAAATGCTGTTGGATTTCTAGATGTATGTATGTGTCTAGAAGTGTTTGATGTTTAGTTTTCAAGATTTCAGATCTGCATAAAACTTGATTCATTGTGTGTGTGTATATATACATATATGTATGTATGTATGTATATAGCATATGTCCTGGAAAAATAGATCTTGGGAGTTGCATATAGTTGAAAAATATTACAGTTTTCATCCTTCGAATTTGCATTTGTAATTTTGCATTTCATCCTCCATGTTCCAAAAATAACATATTTTGGTCCCTTTATGTTTTAATAATTTAATATTTTTGGTCTTTTTCGTCAGTTTAACATTAGTCCGTCAATTAAGGAAGTGATGGACACACAGTTGATTCGGTTAGTTTTAACAAAAAAATAACGAAAATGACAAAAATTGTTTAATTTTTGAAACATGAGGGACCAAATGTGTTTTCTTATGAACATGGAGGGCCGAATGTGAAATCATTGCAAACTTAAAGGGATGGAGAATGCATTTTTTTCACAATTTGAGTTATTATAGCAGTCAATATCTTTTTATTTTTGTTTCGTCAAAATACAACCTACTTCGGTTCTCACGTACATTTGGATTGAAGGATTTGATTATGCAGAAAACACGATACATTTCTTTCTTTCATTTTTCCAATTTAAAAAAAAAAAAAACTCAAATCACCCACCATATGCACTAAAATATAGAATCAAAAAAATAAAAAAAATTAAAAATTAAAATCGAATGAATATTTATTACAATTGTTTTTTAATATTATTTACGAGTCTATGTATGTAAATATCTAAAATATCGTAAATAAATGAACGGTTGGGATTGATTGCAGAAGAGCAAGAAGATCGAATAATGGCATTGCAGGGAGAAGTGATGGCATGTGGATATGAAGATGTCCAGGTCATGTGGTCTATTTTGGACAAGTCCAAGCCAAGAAACTGCATTATTAATTAGTTTTTATTTTTCTAATTAATACCTCCCTCTTTTTTTTGTATATATTTGCATTCACAAAAAAAAAAAAAAAAAAAAAAAGAATCAGAATCAGAATATTCTTGTCTATGTGGCTGGATAAATTAATCAGAAGCCCAAAGACAAGTTTGGTGGAATCCCTGTGATAAAAATTATGAGAAATCATGGTGAGATTTGTGAGTTTATTTTATATTTTGTTTTATGTAATATTGAGATTATGTATGATGACATTTTTAATGTCTCTAATCCTTTGGTATTATGGAAATGAGTCCCATTTTTGTGTCAATTGTGTGTGTGTGTGTGTTTGTTAAGAATTGTCTGAGAAATTAACAAATAAGTTCAAGTTTGTTTGAATTTTTATCGAGCTTGTAAGGTTTTGTTTTGTTTGAGCTTGATTTTGATTGATCGGTGATTTTGTCGAGTTTGAACGAATTCTTGAGAGATTGTACTTTGTAGCATCTTTGGGTTGAGGTGTATAACAAAATGTTGGCTACTCACTTTGAAATAAACATTTTACCAACACATGGAGTTGTTAATATTTAAGGACAAATTACGGCCACCCTTGGGTTATGGTTGAATTACGAAACCCCCTCCTGTTTGGGAAATTATAGTCACCTTTCTCAATTATGTAGTTGTATTACGAAAATACCCCTCCAGAGGTAAATTTAGGAATGCTAAATCGGTAAAACTAACTAAAATTCGGTACGCCAACATTTCATACCGTTTACCGAAATGAATATATGATTTGGTTCGATAAATAACCGAATTACATAAGTTTATATAAAAATATTGATAAGGAACGTCAAATTGGATTCGAATTGCACAATAAATATTCAATTCGGAGAAGAGTTATTAATGGGCATTGGTGGAAATATCGAAAGAAATTATGAAAAAATAAGGGTTTTCTACGAACTCAAATTGTATTTGACTACGAAACGAACTCTATCTCAAGTGAAACGGCGCAAGGAACAAAACTCATGAGCAAAGCTCATGAATCACGACAAATTTCAGCAATCGAACGTCGTTTAGACTCCTAAAAGTTCGTTTTTGCTAACTTGTTTTTGCTAACTCGTTTTTGCTGTTTTTGGTAATTTTTAGTATTTTCTTAGTTTAATTAGAGTTTTCAGTCTTTTATTATAAATAGCTGGCTTAGGACTTTATTTTAAGAAGAATTTCGAATTTTAATAAAATATTTAGAGTTTTCTCTATTTTTCTAGTGGATTCCAGAGTTTACGGTGGATTCCGAATGTTATTTTGTTCTATAGGATTAATTCGTGTAAATTAATTCTTTACTGTACTTCCGTTTTGCGTCAAATATTAATATTTAAAAAAAGGAGGTAGTTGTAATACCCAAACAAGAGGGATTTTTTTTTTGTCCACCTACACACAATCTAGATTTGCTCGAAATATACAAATATAAACAGTACAAACAAGTTTCGAGCACAAAACATTCATCGAGACTCAGAAAATCCTATACATACCCTCATTTGATCACTACTGAATTGACTCACCAATACATGTAGAGTCAACAAGAAAACTCTCAATCACTCATCAACCCAATATTTAACTCATAAATATTCAATCTACTAAAAGAGGACGAACATTAAATACAAAAAGTGGCTTGAATTTGAAAACAGTGCGTTGTTACCGTTATATCTCCCATTAACAACAGTATATATAGCCAACAAAGTAACGATTCGAAGCATTGAATATGCTGCGAGGGTTAACACCTCCCTATTTACCACGTGGATTATGTTCAGAATATTTATTTATTGGGCCTGCAATTTGGTTTTGGTCCTGGATTGGATCAAGGAATGGCTCAATTTTGGCCCATTCAATTTTAATGTCAATATGATTTATTTTTGGAGTTTTTTTTTTAATTTTTTTTTTTAAATAAAATATATTTTAGGTAGCAAGATCAAGTATGTAAGAAGAACAAGAAATAAAATCGATGTTTTGTTTGAATGCATCTACACTATTCATTGTTGAGTACGTGTCGAACTACTAATGGTACACACCAATAGCAAATACAATTAATATACCAAAAATAAATCATATGAAGAAGGTGTTAATGACACATACTAATTCTATACTTTCAAATAGAAAAGAAAATAAATGAAATGCAAACCGAATAACCCAACGAGTCTAATGGCTTTGACTCGACGAACGACTCAGTCCTCCGGATTATGTCCTCGTCCAAAGAGGAGAAGATGAAAGATCAGAACAGAATACAGGAGAAGAAAAGCCGTGGCGCAGCAATGAGAGAGACAGACTATAAATGAACCTGAGCTTAAGAGGTGATTGGGTTCCAAGAAAATGGGATGCCAAGGAGAAGTGGGCTTGGCCCGGTTATAACAAACCATTTGGGCCTCAAGTCGAACATTCACTCTCCATGAAATACCATAAATCTTGCTACATATGTAAACCGAGTTCTTTGAGAAATTTCAAAGAAGAAAAAGACATTTAACTAACATGCTCATACAATTATTAGGGAGTTTGAAACAAAAAATCTATCGATGCTTAGATCAATTTCGAGTAACTAGAGAATAGGAAATCGAGACATGAGTTGCATACCTTGAGATTGCGACAGTTATTAGATATTTATACGGTATTGATGATGCTAAAATATAGCTCACCTAGGGTAGTATAGAAAACGAGCAGGGAGAGCAAAGCTGATCAGTAGCTAGTCAACTCGATGTTCCTGAGGTTCCTACAAAATGAGCACACGTGAACTAAGCCGGGGGTTGATCCGGCGGAAACCCCTCCGACGCTCAAGTCAGATGTCCGGATAGTAGAGAGAGTAGAGAGAATAAAACTCGAGGTGAATTGTCAATTATCAGAACGTACCTTTACAAATGAGTAAAACACTTATTTATACATCGGTTATTGAGTTGGGCTTACTTTGTTGGGCCCAAGCCTTACTTTGAAGGTATTTGGGCTTTCGTGTAGTGGGCCTAATTAATAGATAAATTTGAGGGCCCATTGGGCCGGCCCATTTAGGTATATCATTAAGCCCCCCAACTCTCGATTCGAGATGGAGACTTGTGTAGAGGGGTCCGGGTCGTGTCGAGAGTTAATTGCGTCGGGGATTGAATAGTTTCCTTTGGCGGTGAAATAATTCCTTAATTTAAATAAGGGATAATTATATTTATTTGGCCGCGAGGTATATATTTAAGGGTTTTAACTATTATACCCGGGCCAGATAAATAGACTCCTTTTGCGGTGGAAAGAATTAAACTTCAACTCTTGCAGTAAATATGGGTATGTTCTTTGAACTCTAGGTCTTCTTTTGTGCTATTCTTGTCTTGAAATTTTTTTTTGTGGTAGAGTAGGAATTTTATTTTTCTTGATTGTTTTTTGGGAGAAAATTAATACTCATGTCGAATCCGGGTAAGTCGAAATCCTTGCGAATTAAACTTCGAGATCCGGTCGAAGGGGGCGAGAAAACTTTTGGTTCCGTGGGTATGGAACGTGAAAATCTTGTGGTATCGAGTGCGAAAATCGGATCTACATCCGGAGGTGCACGAAATTCTGTGCAGGTGGGGGTGGTAGACGGCTCGGAGGCGGACGATGGCTTAAGCCGCGCTGTTAGCCGGCTCAAAACGAGTGAGAGAAATCCTCGCGTGGAGCGTGTGGAGCCGAGCCGGAGTCAGGAGCCGACGGCTTGGCTCGTGAAGGAGAAGGTGAGAGAGAGGGATCCTATTCCACGTGGGCCAATAGTGGGCGGACGCGCGCGCGCGTCGGGTGCGGTGGTCGAGGCACGCGCGCGCGCGTCGGAGCAAAGGGGAGAAGAACGCGCGCGCGCGCGCGGTTGGTGCGTGTGTGAGTGGCGCGCGTGGAGTAGGGGGAGGGGCGGACGCGCGCGCGCTGCCCAATGGGGGCGCGCGTACGCGCGCGTCGTTGGAGAACGGTGATGATGGTGACGCGCGCGGGCTGCCCACTGAGGGCGCGCGTCCGCGCGCGTCGCTGGGAGTGTTGGGGCGCGTGAGCGCGCGTCGGAGGGGGGGTTAACGCGCGTGAGAGCGCGTCATCCGAGGGGACGCGCGCGCGTGAAGGCGCGTCCGGAGCTATTTTTCGGGGCGGTTTTTTCGATCGGGTCGGGCAACATGAGGAGCAAATTGATGTCGAAGATTGTGTTAATGCTCGGAGTGCCGTGAGGCGAGAAATCCTTGAATCATGGAGTGATGATGTAGAAACGAATATTCATGTTAGTGAGCAAGTGGATGGAGTTGTGGCTAGTCGGCGTTATTCTCGACGTCAAATCGTGGATTTTGGGAGCGATAGTGACGATTCCAACCAAGCCCCTTTGGCGAGTGATCATGTTGTGTCAAGTATTGAAGTTGAGTCGACGGATGAAGAGGGGGAGGAAGATGATATTCCTCCGGGTGATGTTGAGGTTGATAAGAGGAGGCAAAATAAAAAGAAGCCAATTAATTTGGACTTAGTTAGTTTTGACAGCGTGTTGACGGAAGAGCATTTGCACTCTATTCGTCGTTTATCTGGAGCGCCAAGTAATGTCGAGTTGTTGTTGCCTCAGAAGGGCGACCGTTTGTATTCGCCACCCGATGGGTTTCATACGGTATTTTTGGGGTACTTGACGTGTACCTCTCAGATTACACCGCATCCGACTTTGTTGAAGGTTTGTGAGGACTTCAAGATAGGGTACAGTCAGTTAACTCCGACTGCCATTCTTATGTTCGAGGCGTTTCACCATAGGGTGTCTCTAGTGGGTTTGCCTATGACCGTGAGTTTGTTCAAGGCGTTATTTACATTACATCGGCCCAATAGGACGCCTTTCTTTTGTTTTCATCCTCGCGTTCCTTACCAATTCGTGAAGAGTGTGAAGTTATCTTTGGGGAAATGGAAAGCCCATTTTTTTTATGTGAGGGCTCCCACTTTTAACGTTCCCGTAGTTTGGAATCCTACGTGCGAGAGTTTCACGATAACTGCGAATATGGCGAAAATGATTGAAGAGTCAGGATTGTGTGATGTGGAATTTGACCCGAGGGTTTTGATACCAAAGGCGAAGGGTCAGCACCGTATATCTTTTTGTTGCCTTGACTTGTGTGTTTTTTTTTTTTTTTTTTTTTTTTTGTAGTTCGTTGGCAGTGTATATCTCATGTCTCTTATGTGTTTGTTATCTTTTGTAGATGGGGGTATCACCTTTGCGGCACTTCAAGCTAAGGCGAATGGGACGTCGAAGAAGGCATCGAAGAAGGCATCGAAGAAGGTACCCTCTACATTGAGAGGTTCTTCAAGTGGTTTGCCTCGTGAAGAGGTCCATGT